AAATATAAAGAAAGAAAGATTTAAATTATATTTAGTTTTGGTCTTGTTTAAAAAAAAAAAAAATTGGGAAATTAGTGGGACCCATCCCTAAGGCGTCGAATGTTTCTCCGTGCCAGTACTTGGAATTATTTAAAAGAATATTACTTCTCACGGTCTTCGTGTGCCTCCCAATGGATTAGATACAATAGGGAAAAAGCCCAGTGTTAGTTTTCGGGTTGGTCTCCATGGATACCCCACAGGTGTAGGTTATCCATTGCCATACCCTACCCGTTGTGACTTCGTGAGCGAAACTTCTGGACTGGTCTCTTTCCTGTAACCAGGTCTCTTCATTTTAAAGACTCCGATTTTCAAGCATGGTTTGTCAGTGCGTTTGGCACTCGTCTTTCCAGATTGAGCCCCACTTCACACTTCCCGGTACTGTGTGCCGCAATCAATCCTCTTGAGTTTGATCAATCTCCTTATTCGATATTGCAGTTTTTCAGCACAGTAGCCGTTGCATAACTTTCGGCGAATTTGGGTTACTCGGCTCTTCGGGCTGTGGTTTTAACGACTCTTTCCAAGCCGTACTAGATAATACTTTGCTGGTATAAACGCGTTCAAGGTATTGTGGATGGGTCCTTCGTGTTAGCCGACTAGGTGCCAATTCTATTCCGAGATAATTTAAGTGCCAAATAAGTGCTAGACCTTCCTGGATGAACGTTGACAGATTATATATCGTGGTAGAGTTGTAGCCAAAAGCGAAGTCGTGCCAGTGATGTCTGTGAACACCTTTTGTCGAGCGCCTCTAATCCTTATATCGGACCATCTGTTACAGTGTAATTTTGCCAAATAACTTGCTGCACGAATTGTCTTTGTCAAGATCGTTCTCTACTCGTATCGCCCACGTCGATACCTTCGGAAGTTGTTTTAGAGCACCTCCCCGCTGTGACATTCAACTTTCGATTTCACGAACGGCCTGTTCTTGTGTGTCCGGTCCTGACTCTCTCTGATCCAATTCCGTTGGTTGCCATCGATCACTTGACCTTTGCGTTTGCCAAGGTTGCTCGGTGCATATAAAGCCGTAGCGAGCGCCCGAGCTTTTGTGGTGTGCCTCAGTCTCTTAGCACGTCGCAAGTAGCTGTTGCTTTCTGCTGACTGTAGGCCAACTACTTAGTAGGCTTTTTCTCAACTCTGATCGAGTGACATAAACCGTTCAGAGAGAGTGAGGTTGTGCCGCTATAACTAGAGGGATGCCGGAGGAAGTAGATTCAGCTATATTATGCGTCATATATATGTATCAGAAATAAATTGCGTTCACGCTTAAAGTAAATTGAACCAAGAAGGAAAGCAATTACTAGGCCAACACATTAGTCGAATAGCCGAAATGTATATTAATAGCTCTATAACCTTAATCAAGAACACATCTTACAAGTGGAGTTCCTAATTAGCTTCATATATAGCTGATCAAAAGGTGACCATAAATTATTATAATAACTCATGGAATTTTTCTAGAGAGAGAGAATGAAGACCCAGCCATGGTTTAATGATAATATGCAGCTCTGGAGCCAAACAAGTCTGGCAAGCTATTTATGACATCTTGTACATACACATATCAATGGAAGTCAATATTAATATTTATGCAAATAGTGATTATCTTACAACAAATATTATTTTCATGCTCATGATCAACAAGTTCTGAACAACATTTGTGCGAGTTCAACAAGTTGGTATCTATTCGGCATGAACTGGCAAGTCAATGGGCTAATGGCTACGCCGAATACGGAATATTGCCGAATAATGGTGCTAAGTAAAGATGCCGAGAAGAACTAGGATGTATTTAATAGCCAATAATACTCACCGAGAAAGTGCAACGTTGAGGCGAGAATGTTGTGCCATACTTGGTTTGCAAGTGTATGTCGGCATAATTTTAATTGTGATAATAAGAGTTTGGCATGCATTTTTAGTCCTTTTCAATAGTGTATTTGTTTGGGTTGGGTGTAGCAGGCAAAAAGTAAGATTCAAAAAACAAGTACACTAACCTCAATTCGAGTTGAATCAGAATGAAAATAAGAGACCTAGCTATGGGCCGTATTACGTGAAGTTGATTATCATTTTGTAGAAAATGCACTAACCTCAATTCAACCAGTACAAGTTTACTTACAATAAACTGTTTGTTGTGTTCTTCGTTGATCTCGTTCAGTTGTTCCCACAGACGGCACAAATTGTGAGACCATGAAATATCCTCTCACATGGATTGTTGGTGAGATTCAACGAAGATAGTTCCATGAACCTGCAACAGATAAATATGGTTGATGCCACCCAACTGGGGTTACCACCTGGGGACACTCCGATGATGAAGTTAGAATCCATGAATGAAGAATCAAGAATTGTAAAGAGTGTTTGTGTGCTGTGTGGAGTAGAGAGAGATCATACCTCTATGCCATGAGGTGCCTTCCTTTTATAGATGGGGGGTGGGCCGAATAAGCCCAATAGTTGGCCCCTTAGCAAGCCTTGTTTGGGTTAGCCCAATAAGTTGATACATATTATTTTCTGGCTCCCATAGTAAATAGATGGGATAGTCACAAAATAATTGTACCACATATGAGAATATTTATGCTGCAACTTGCACCAAGCATATGAATAAACTTTTATCATATACACACATGAGACCTGCACCACCAATAAAATAAAATTATTTCTCAACTATTTCACTAAATGCAATTTCTTAAAAAAAAAAATATAAGTCTTATAAATTACCTTATGTAACTAAAGTATTGCAGTGACCTAGATGTAATGATTTTTTGGAAAAAGAATAGGTAGAGAGATGGAATAGGAAAGAGATGAATTTAATGTTTCCTTTTGGAAATTGGTAATAGAGGTTAGATAAAGGAAGATTAGAGAAAGGACAAATTACACTAACAGTCCTTATAGTTTGAGATTTATATTATTTTAGTTTTTGATTTTTCAATTGTAATACATTTGATCTTTAATTTGAATTTTGTTCCAAATAAAAACAATTGAAGAGATCATTACTCAATTTCAAGAGTAAAGTCGTCAATTTGATAAAATATAAACTAATTTGATAAAAATAAATATCAAAAAATATTTTTGAATTTTTAAAAATTATTTCTACCCACCAAAGATAAAAGTATATAAAATTAATAAATCTTTTACAATTTTTTTTTTACCTAATTAATTTTTAGTATGTATTTGGATGATGATCATGTAATTAGTAGTTGTTTTTGTTATTTTTTGGATGGTTATCATGTAATAGATGGTTGTATTTGTTATTAACAAATATTTTTAGATGGTTATCATGTAATGAATAGTTATTAGATTGTAATCGATATGTTTTATATATGAAATGTTTTTAGTTTTGGATTTTTTTAATTTAATGGAATGGTTTAATAATAACATCAAAATTGTTGACATGTTTGACTTTTGAAAAAAAAGAAGCTAATTTAACAAAATAAATATAAAAAAAATTATTTAAAAAAATTATTTCCACCCCCTCCCAAAAGATAAAATTATATAAAAATAAATTGATAGCTTTGCCCTTGGAATTGAGCGATGGTATCTTTAATTGTCCTTATTTGGAACAAGATTCTAAATTCATGATTAAATGTAACACGAGTTCCAAACTATAAAAACTATGAGTGTAATTCGTGCTTAAAAAAAGAGTTCCCCTCCCCCTCCTTTTATTTATCATTCTTTTGAAAGTCATAAATTATAAAATTATTTATATTTTAAAAATGGTTAGTTTAATGAGTTAGCCAATGGGATTTTTAAATTTTATTTTTAATTGTAAAAAATTCAAAAATTTATTATGAAGGATTAAAGCACTAGAAAGATTCTTGATTAAAAAGACTATCTGACTTAATATATAGTATAAATAGATATTTGTTGTCCTTTCATTGTTATTTTTTTTTTGGGTACATTGGAAATTAAAGTCAAAACATGGACTACATCCTATCACTCTCCTTAGAGAGATGCACAATGTCCGCAACAAATAAGGTGCGGAGTTCTTCAGGTGGTTCATTTACGATAAGAAGATCTGCCGGTTGATATTCGCCTAATTTGGCCATTACATCAGCACAAATGTTAGCTTCCCTTCGAATGTGCAGGATGGAGCAATCACATCCTCTCATAATAATACGTGCATCTTCCACAATGCCCCGAAAAGGACATCTTTCTCCCAGATCATCACTCAACAGTTTCGTCACTTGCTTCGCATCCATTTCTATTATCACTTGATTGAAACCTCGTTGGAGTATGATAGTCCGCCCCTTGTAGACTGCCCAAAGTTCCGGTTCAAGACAGACGTATATTTCAAGCCTTCCATAGTATCTACTAATCCATGCTCCTATTTCATCCCCAAATAATCCACCAAAACCGCCACCTCCTCCATGCCTGCGAGTCCTGCCATCCGTGTTAAGTTTGATTTTTCTTGCATTTGGACAAGACCACACAGAAATACTTTTAGCTTGAAGTGGTTAAGTGACATTCAAACTAAAAGCTTGAAAGATTTCTTTGGCATAATCTGATATGAGTTTAACACTCTCATGAATATTAGTAGTTTTATGTTCAAACACCATTTTATTTCAATTTTTCCAAATAGTCCAAAGGGAGGTAAGGAACAAGTGTGAGGTTTTGTTCTTCCCTTTCATATTCTGGGTGATCCAATCTTTCCAAGGTATAAAGAGCCTGCTGCAGTACCATTCCTTACTATAAACACGGCACCATATCTGGATAGCTTGAGGACAAAACCAAAGCAAATGTTCAATATCCTCCACGTTAGCACAGTAGGGGCAGTTGGGGTCAGAAATAAGACCCCTCAGATTTCTCATTTTGTTAGTGGGAATTTTTTCATGAAAAACAAGCCACAAGAAGCTCTTAAGTTTCTGAGGAAACTTAAGCTTCCAAATCCATCCCCAATCCCCTTCTTGATTATGATGATCAATAATTAAATCATAAGCACTGGATGTGGAGAACTCTCTATCAGAGGATTTAATCCATCTAGGAGTGTCTTCTCCAGCATTAAGTCTGGGTGGTTGTAGCTTTAAAATAGCTACAACCATAGGTAATGGAAAAGAGTTGTGCAAATGATTTAAGTCCCAATCACCATGTGCATCAAGAAGAGACTCCATAGTAAATATGCTCAGAATTTGGAATTTGATTGGTAGGTGTGTTCAAATCCATTTCAAAAACCCCATCACCACACCACCAATCTTTCCAAACTCTCACTTTGTTACCTTTTCCAAGCTTCCATTGAACTCCCTGAACCAGGAGCTCCCTGGTATTTAGGATACCTTTCCAAATGTGCGATATACTCTTGCCTTTCTTCTTAATTAAGAAAGGCTGCTGACCCAAGTATTTATTTTTTAGCACATCTACCCAAAGAGTATTCTCCCCAATTAACATTTTCCACCCCAATTTGGATAGAAGAGCTAGATTTTGATCTCTAGCCTTGCGGATCCCAAGACCCCTATCTTTTTTCAACTTACAAACCTGATCCCAATTAACAAGATGCACTTTGTTTTTCTCAAGGCTATCACCCCAAAGAAAGTTTCTATTAATCTTATCAATCTCATCACAAACTTTCCTCGGGAGCTCCATAGTTTGCATGGTATATGCTGGCATAGCAATAGTGACAAATTGTATCAGGGTTGCTCTTCCTGCCAAGGACAACATCCCAGATTTCCACCCAGCAAGTTTTTTCTTCAGTTTTTCCAAAATAAACAAAAAATGATTTTTGGACATTGTATCACGTAACAATCGGGTCCCAAGGTATTTCCCCAATTACAAGTTAGAGGAATACCACACATATTACTAAGCTGAGATGCTCTTCTTCTGGCAATATTAGGAGACACAAACATATGGGATTTATTTAGACTAACCTTCAATCCCGGGATTTCACTAAACTCATTCAAATCTTGCAAAATAGTGTTACAATTATGCTCGTTTGTTTTAGCAAACAAAATCAAATCATCCGCAAAAAACAAGTGTGATATGTTAGGACCATTCTTAGCCAAGCTAAGCCCAATCCATTGTTTACCTTGCACTTGCTGGCTATTCATGGCCGAGAGACGTTCCATGCATAACACAAAAAGATAAGGGGATAGGGGATCCCCTTGTCTTAAGCCCTTAGCTGGTTTGAACTCTTCAAGGGGTTCAACATTCCACAAAATAGTTGTGTTCACACTAGTGACCCAACTCATAATCAGATTCACCAATTTCTCATCAAAATGGAATTCTCTCTGAGTTTGGTGAAGGAAATTCCAAGAAATGTTATCGTAAGCCTTTTCAAGATCAATTTTAAAAGCCATGAAACCCACCTTCCCTTTTTCCTTTTTCAAAGTATGAATAGCTTCCTAAGTGATTATGATATTATCATGAGTAGAGCGACCCGGAATGAACCTACTCTGATTAGGGCTTATTAAATCATTGAAGACGGGTCTAATTCTATTGACAAGGATTTTAAAAATGATTTTGTAAGTAACATTACACAAGCTGATAGGCCAGAATTGTTTCACACTCTTAGGATTAGCAACTTTAGGGATAAGGACTACAAGAGTTCTATTAATCGCAGGGGGAATGCTACAAGAAGAAAAACAATTTTGAACAAATTTGATCACAGATTGGCCCACAGTCTTCCAAAAGGTGTGATAAAAAATTGCTTGGAACCCATCCCTACATGGGGCCTTAAAAGCTTTAATATTCTTGACAGCCCTCCAAATGTCAGCAGCAAAAACATTCCTCCTCATTTCACTTTGATCATCAGGGCTGATGTGCTTGGTCAGATTACTCCAATGATCAAGGCTAATAGTTTGAGTATAAGCAAAGAGCTTTTGAAAGTAATCATTTACTAAAATTTTTAACTGCATGGGGTTATCCACCCAAAACCCTTCTTCATTTTTCAAAACTTCAATTTTTGTTTTCCTTCTCTTGATAATTGTAGACATGTGAAAAAATGTTATATTCCGCTCACCCTAAGTAATCTAGTTAACACGGGATTTTTGAAACCAAAATAACTCTTCTTGATATAAAACTCTATTATAATCAATAGTAAGATCATTTTCCAGTTAATGTAAGTTGTGAGAATAGTTCTTGGCTTGGGAAATTTGGGTCTTATTAATTCTACCAAGCAACCGGCGCTTACGACGAAAAATGTTACCGAAAATATTTTTATTCCAATCCTGCAAAGCATATGTCATGTAATCCAAATTTCCCAACAGAATATTATTCTGCCTAGGCCAATTATTATCAACAATTGCACTGAAATCCTCATGTGATAACCAAGCAGCTTGAAATTTAAATAGATTACTGGAAGGACTAGAAGGATTTCTACCTTGAGTGTGAAGAAGAAGAGGAGAATGGTCTGAATAAGTCCGAGGCAAGTTATGAACAAAGCCCTCATGAAATAAAGTTCGTCATTCTGTGTTACAGAGTGCACGGTCCAATCTCACCATTGTATTAGCCCACCCTTTCCTACTATTAGTTCAAGTGAGTCTAGGGCCAACATAACCTAAATCCATGAGGTTACAACTACTAATTCTATTAGAGAATTTTTGGCTCCTTCTTTGACTCTGGCTTAAGCTTTAAGATGGAGAAGTTGAGAAGCTCCTTTTATCCTCAGATCTTGAGTAGTCATTAAAGTCCCCTGTTACCAGTCATCGTTCTTTGGTGTGTTGAGCCAATGTTGTCAAGTCATTCCAGAGTTCATCTCTCATTCGAATATCGGGCTAGCATAAACTGCAGATAATACCCAGTCAGGATAATCTTGCCTTGAAATAGTAGCTGTGATCATCTGGGAAGAAGCATCATGAACTCTCACATTGGCTTGACTAGGATTCCAAAGTAGCCAAATGCCTCCACTTTTGCCAATCGGATCTACATGGGTTGAGGCCGTGAACCCCAAATTGTTGAAAAACATACCCATCGTGTTTAGCTCCACTTTTGTTTCCATGAGTATGATCATGTCTGGTTTATGTAGCCTTACTAATTCCCGCAAATTTGTCCAGAATTGAGCATTACCAGCATCCTTACAATTCCATATTAGCATATCCATAGACGACAGTTTGTGGGTTGGCCAATCCTTTGTCTCAAACAGTCCCAAAATATTTCGCACAGTCTTCTGGTCTTCCTCTCGTGGCTTCGCTGGTTTCACAAGCACCATGTGCCTCACGTTGTGTGAAGCTATCTCCTACCATGGTTGAATTAGTAGCTTCACCTCTTCTAGCCACCAATTGATTTCGACGTGGTGATACACTTCTTTCTCTAGTTCTAAGAACATCAGAGTTCTGAATTGGTCCACTCGGTGTTCTGACATTGGGATGTTCTTTGCCGTTTCCTTCATTAGAGCGTCCCTCCTTTCTGACTGGCAAGTCTGGTGGTTTGTCTTTTCTGATTTGCACTCGGATATCAGGGTCGGTGGCTGTAGTCAAGGCATTAGTATTATTGTCTATGGTGGGTGCTGTAGTAGCAGGAAGAGAGTTAGGGTTTCCTTGAGCATTTAGCTCATTTGAGCTAGGTTGTGAGCCTTTTTGCTTGGAATAGTTTGGGTTATCACAGTAGATCATCTCTTTTTCTTTGGGCCCAGATGCAACATCCAACCCTAAGTCTGGCCCTCCATCTTTCATGTGCTTGGTTGAGCCTATTGGGCTTTGCTTTGTAGATACGAAATTTCTCCTTGAAAAGACGGGGGGCCCATGTCGAGGTCAACATATTTTCTTTGAGCTTATTTAATTTCCTACACTGCACTAGTTTCTCCCTGATCTTGGTCCACCTGTAAACTTTCAAATCGATTGCTCTTATGGACATGGATCTTCTGCTTTTGCTTTCCCTTATGGTATTTTCTTCTAGTGGTTGTTATGGTCCATGGCCCATAACCATGGGTATCTTTTTCATTAGATAACTCTTTATTTGTTTGCCCATTGGGCTGTACTTCCCTCGGCCCAGTTGCTGTGTCCTTTTGATTAACGGTCATATTTTGTATCGTTTTCTCCGGCTGTATCACCGGAAATTCAGTGCACTTCTCCTTCCGATAACCAACACGGCCGCAAGAAAAACACAGAAGGTGGAACGTAATGGTAACGTCCAATGGTAATATGGGATATGAGCAGTTTACGTAGGTCCATCTCAACACATACCCTTGCATACTTCCTTGTGCTACCATGGCAGTATTAATATCTACCTTTAAGGGCTTTCCAAGTACCTTTGGAATGTGATAGAGGACCTTTTCATCATAATATTCAATAGGCAGATTAGGGAACCTCACCCAAATGGCAATTGTATCCTCTTCCGCCTCATCTGATTTAAAATCAGGTTGCCATTTTTGAACTGTCACATACCGATCCGTCACTACCCATGGGCCCCCAGTGAAAACCTTAGAGTAATCTTCCATCACTTCAAATTTCACAATGAAGAAACCATTTCCAATATCTAGAGTTTCAAAACCTGTTTGAAGATTCCACAACTTGTGCATCCTATTTACAAACAAGTTATATCCAATATTCTTCCCCAAGAGTCTTACAATGACGCAATTCTTCCATGGTTCTCTGACCTTTTTTAGGAGACCAGCAGGTAGCTTAATGATCGAAATCGAAGCGTTTCCTTGATTCTTCGAAGCATCCTCTGTTTCGTCTTCGTTGTCTATCTCCTCATCGGAGGAGAAATAAGCTGCCTCACAGTCAAAGTTGCATTCTCTCTCAGTCTCATTGAATCGAGATCGTAATAGGGCTTGCTTAAAGGATCTCTGGGATCCCAGATTACCTTCCTGTATCTCATCGATGTTTTCATGGCAGACATCAGTTTCCTCCACCATCTGTTCATCTGGCTTTTCCAAAGTATTAGCTTGAATCTCCAGTAATTCCATACCATTCGCATCACTAGATTTCACTTTTTTCTTGCTCCGATCAAGGTGGTCTTGTTCTTCCGACGAAGTTGCGTGATTACTAGTTTCAGTTTCAACGGTTATTTTTATTGTTTTTATAACCACAGATAGAATAAGTAATCTCCGCAATACAAAAAGTTGAACACGAACACGAGAGAGACAGAGACAGAGACAGAGAGAGAGAGAGAAGCAGAGAGCAAGAGCAACCTTGCTCGTTCGCAGCCGCGTACCGCCATTGCCAATGAGTCAAGTGAAGAGCAGCCTTGTCTCTCTCTCTCTCTCTCTCATTCGCGATTTCTTCAATCGTCTCTGATCTCTGTTCAGTGATGCGGCGAAGTTCTCTGCATTACCCACTCTGCTCCTGATTTCTCCTCTTATCTTCTAAGTTAATGGTGCATTAAGGTGGAGAGTTTCCTATGCAATCGGAGCAAAACCTGAGTGTTTGTTGGTCTTGCCTTCCACCTGTTCAACAAAATGCCTAAGTGAACTTCTGTTATTGAGAAGTCATAAGATAATTAAGGAGAAAGAGAGAGAGAGAGAGAGAGAGAGAGAGAGAGAGAGACAGAGACAGAGGGACAAAGAGAGAGACAGAGAGGACATCAAGCTATCAATGAAGAAGGGCAAACTAGCTAAGAGCAAATTAGCCAAGTGTAAATCAAAATGTAAATCTGCTAAGTGCAAATCAACCAAGGTCTCCTTGAAGGAGTTTGGTAATCAGGTGGATGCTCAAATATATATCGATAAGATGCCTACTGTACTCCCCCGCAAGTCTACACGCATCCGAGTAGCCTCCAAATCTCTCATACTTAGAGATTTTGTGGGACCATGGCAAGGGCCCTTGAATGAAAAAAAAAGGGATTAAGGGATGTGGGATTGGAGGATAGCTTAATCGAGTGTGATTGTGTCGATCTGTGTTTGTGTGAAAATCTTGGTACACCACGGTTGCAAACGAATGTGGAAATGCAAGCCTTAACTAAGCAATCATCAAAGCAGCACCAAACACCTAATGCATGGAATACACCAACTAGAGTGCTAACTGATCTTGAGCAGTGGCCAAAATTGGCCATTGTTTCCCCACTAGTGGCAAATGAAATGATAATGTCAAATAAACTTGGCTCACCCAGTGATGATCAAAGGAGAGAAGCAATTGGTACCAAGCAATGGAAGAGTGTTGAAAATGTGCGAGCTTGTAGTAATGAAGATTTCGTTGAACTACATATGAAAGACACACAATATGGCAAGGGTAAATGTCTCGATGGTGATACAACTGCTATATTAGGTAGGCCTCTACAAGCTTGGAGCTCTTTACTTAAAGAAGAGATTAACAAGGTGTCAAAAATCAAGTATAAAATAGGTGCCCATAAGAGTGAGAACCTAGTGTAGACACCCTATTTTTGACCGACCTTAAGACTCAGACGTCGCCAGTTGAGCACTTGGTGATATTGCATGTTGTGCTTGTTCAGAAGTCTCAGAGTCGCGGCTGCGAGCCCTGCCTCCGGACTTCTGAACCCTCTTCTGTGCCCTGCCTCGGTTTGCGAACCAGACTCGGTTTTCTCATTTTCTTTTCCTGAGGGAAGGGAGAGGTCCAGTAGACCATCTCTCAGTGGCCGTGGGCTACATTTTTTGGCCGCAGGCCATTTTGCCCATTTCGGAGCCCAGTTTCCGGTTTTTCGGGACCGTTGGCCGTGCGCCTCGGTTCGGGACCGCTTAACCATATCCGTTTACTCTAAATTTTGGCATACATCTTATTTTCTCCCTTTCAAGGGACACTGGGGCCTGAGAAACCCACTTCGTGGCCGAACGCCACTTTCGGTGCTTGGCAGCCCATTTTCGGGACCCCGAACTGCGTGTTTTGGCCCCCGAGCATTCGTTTTGCATTGCTTTTCGTTCATTTTTGGCAGGTGCCTCTGTTTCATCACCAGGGAGGTCATTGGAGGGTGGGAGGCCAGCAATTATCTTGGCAACCAGTTATGTTCCATTTTCGCCCTCCGACACCCATTTTTCGCACTTCCGGGCTAATGTTGAACACCTTGGGGCCACTTTCTTAGCCTACAAAGTAGAGGGGATCCATCTCCAAGTGATCCCATTAATGAGGAGACTACAAAGGAGGATAACAAAAGGAAACTCAAAGCGAAACTTCATTACTTGAAGAGTGCTAGAGGGAAATTTTGAATCCTTTGTTGTGATTGGTGTGTTTGTCATCTATAGGCTTTGTTTGTTTCTTTTGAGGGAGGAGTTTATTTCTTTGTTTATGTTTGTTCTCCCTACAAAGGGCGTGTACTGAACTTCATCGTATATCTATCTTTTTTGGTTATAATATGACTTACTTATCCAAAAAAAAAAAAAAAGTTGGGCACTTTCATTGTTAATAGAAATTGCTTGTTCTCTTTTAGAATATGTTCATGATTTTGTTAATTTATGACTTATTACATTTTTTTCAAGTCAGAAACCAACACACCATCAACTCCGCCACCTATGTCCCCACCTAGTGCCTCCTCCGCCGCAACCTCACCTCCAAGATCCTCTACTCCTCCCGCGTCAAATCTTATACCCACGCTCGGCAACGGGTCCTTGGAATTTTGATCCACCGCCCTCTCGATTTTGAAGAGGACTCCTCGGCAGAAGCAGTGAAAGTGGTAGATCATTTTGAATACACCATGTTTTGCTTATTAGTACTCATGTGTTTTGGTGATAGGCTTGAGGAGAAGCAAATTACACAAATCGAGATGGTGCAGCGCGCGATGCTATTGATGTCTAGTAGCTTCAATATACTCGACTATTAGCCCAAATTAGGGAAGATTGTGTTTTGCAACCGTTGGAATGAGCTCTTGCGGATGTGCCGGGGTCAAAAGGAAGTGTTGATTCCTCTTATAGAAGCCCGAGTTGACATTTTGAAACAACGACGACAAGGGAACCAAGAAGAAGAAGTGGGCGTGGTGGCATATGTGGATACGTTGGTGGATCTTAAGCTGCCCAACGAGAAGAGAAAGCTCAACAACGATGAGATGGTGAGCCTATGCAGTGAGTTTCTCAACGAGGGCACTGATACTGCATCGACTGCTTTGCAGTGGATCATGGTTAACCTGGTGAAGTACCCTCAGGTTCAGTCTAAGTTGTACGAAGAGATTATTGGGGTAGTGGGCCCACCACCGCCCCTGTCCCGAGAAGGAGAGAAAAAAGAAAAAGAAATCCTCGTAATAAATGAGGAGGATTTACATAGGATGTCATACTTGAAAGCTGTGGTATTGGAAGGGTTGAGGCGTCACCCATCGGAGCACTTCATATTGCCTCACATGGTGACTAAAGATGTGGATTTGGAAGGCTATTAGGTGCCTAAGGGTACAATAGTAAATTTCATGGTGGCAGAGATGGGGTGGGATTCGAAGGTATGGGATGAGCCCATGGAATTCAAGCCCGAGAGGTTCTTGACAAATAGCGGTGGCAATGTAGGAGAAGGGGAAAGGGAAAGGAAAACGGCAGTGGTGTTTGAGATAACTGGGAACAAGGAGGTCAAGATGATGCCATTTGGGGTCGGGAGGAGGATTTGTCCAGCAAGTGGTTTGGCTCTACTACACTTGGAATATTTTGTGGCCAATTTGGTTTGGTATCGTAAATGGTAGTTATGGGTGGCTACTGTGCAGCAAAATTGGCCCATTTCGGAGTCTATTTTGATAATTTAAACCGTTCATATTTTAGAATACATTAAGTAGAATATACCTGTAAAAAATTATGTTAATCGGATATCGTTTATCCTTTCATCTACTCACATTTGTATGCATTTTAATATTTTAAATTACAATTATTATTTATTTTTGTAGATACAAGTATGAGTGGATGAAAGGATAAACGATATCTGATTAACATGATTTTTAACAAGTCTGTTCTACTATTTATTCTAAAATGTGAATGGTTCAAATTATCGAAATGAGTCTCAATGTGAACCCATTTTACCGCACAACAATGGCTACCATTCCCCTTTCCTCGGCACAGCAGCCAACCCCACACCCTTTGAATGGACGGCTGCGGATGAAAATGATGGGGATGTTGATTTGTCAGAGAAACAAGAATTCCCTATTGTGATGAAGAATCCACTACGGGCCCACATCTCCTCTAGAGGCTAAGGGATAAACAAATAAATGCACATTAATAATACTATCAGTAGTGCTACATGTATCAATTAGTGTATTAATTGGTGTATCAATACTAGTTATGACATTATTATTGACTCCACTCATTAATCACATTACAAAAATCAAAAACTTTTTAAAATTATGTCATATCATCAATTGGTATATTAGTTAGTACGCTAATTGGTGCATATAGCATTATTCTAATATTATATATGCAAGGCCAAGGATTTGTGGGTTGTCCAGTAATCCTGCTGCTTTGAAATACTTATATACTAGCGGTGATCTATGGTATGTACGAAAAAATAGACAATATACATTTTATGTAATAAATAAATTATTCTAATTTTGAATTATGTTTTAATAGCAGCAAATCATGATATTTGGCCATCTTGGTAGATGTTAACCCTAATTAATCAACAAAATTTCACAATAAAATTTGATATGCATAAAATTTTGTTAATTATAAAGATTGTTGAGAATAATAGTGTGGGGATATATTTTCTGAGTACCAATATGTGGCCAAGGTGACGCCGACGTGTCAGCCGAGGTGCCACGTGTCCTGGTCATGACGCCGACATTGTCTCAGCAAGGCCGAGGTAATCTCCAAAGATATCGGAATCCGAGATGAGCGGATAAGGCACAAGAGTCCTAGAATGATGAGAGAACTCAGCCTGGATAAAGATAAAGCTCTTAGAGAATTTATCTCTATCTATAGAAGAGTCCAAGATAAGCACTGAGCAGAAGTCTATTGAAGCTAGGCTTCTATAGGGGCTAAGATTGAGGTAACTATAAAAGAAAGGCACCTCTTATGGGTCTAAGGTACACAATTTACATTCTGAACAGTGAGTTTAG